TGCTGTTCGATCACGTAGCTATCCGAGACTCGAAGAGATTGTTGTGTTGGTCAGATAGTGTGTCAACGAAAGTGGTACGCCGGCTGCGGTAGGTCAGTGTCGTGGTTGCATAACGCGTGTCATACCATCCGTCGTGCCCGTTTCGGGTACAACCTACTTCGCCGGTCGTGGGCCTTTTGCGAACGTGAATGTACAACTTGCGACTACATTCGTTTTATAGGCGAAAAACAAACGTAGCGCTCGTTTGTGCGGTATTTTGGCGTAGCGCTATCGTATGGGTTAGGAAAATGCGATTTTACACCTTATTTTACATGAATACGGTTTATGTCAAACGGTTTGACAGACGACGTGTCCGCTAGCGCTGCGCATCGCATAACGCTGCGTTCGTGTAACCGTTTGGCTTAAACCGTATTTGGGAATAAGGTCAACATTCGTAATGTCCTAACTCATGTGTTATGCAGCGTAAAATAACGCACAAACGGGCGTTACGTGTTACTCACCTACATTCGATTCTTAGCAATCGTGTTAACGTGGTCACTGTATTTGGTCGGTAATAACTTGATACGTTTGAGGTACCTTGTTTGTGCTTGTTACGTCATCATAGAGGAAATCAAAGCAGAGTTACGTGTCTCTAACCTTTTGCGTTTGCTTGTCGTGTGGGACACCGAGTTGATGGACGGCCCAGTGACCCCGGTGTCAAGCATTTTGATCGCCCACTAACATTACTAGTCATACAGTTGTGTAAGACCCCTATCTTAGTGATCGAGACCGACTGCTTAACGTTCCCTCTAAACCTCGGAACTACCTTATTTTCTATTTCTTATGGACAGTCTGGTCGTTTAGCTAGATGACATAGGCAAACCTAGAGAAAATATTAACTCTAGTATTCTTCACCCATAAATCGAACCAGGGACTCCCTAAGAACTAAATTAGACCGCTTTTAGACTACGACTACATTATTATGGCTCGTTTGATTAAGGTGCCAAGTTTTTGTCGTTACATCATTGATTGAGGAAATCAAAGTTAGACATATCCATCCTTTAGGCGCCATATTTGCATTCCTAAGCCTTTAAACAACGCATTGTGCAATAAAACTGCATGTTCATGCCCTGGGCAAAGCTCATAGGTCAGGTTTCTCCTGAAGGCGGAAGCCATTGCAGGAAACCTAACTTGCCGAGTGTGGGCTGAGGGCCTGGAGCGCAATCTTTGAAAGTGTGATTTCTGAAATCGTGCACGGAAGTCCGTAACGACTGGTCTGTTCTATCACACTTCTTCTTCTTCTTTTCGAATGGGACACAGAGTCATCTAACGACCCATGAATATTGTGCAATAAAACTGCATGCTCACTGAGCCCTGGGCAAAGCTCATAGGTCAGGTTTCTCCTGAAGGCGGAAGCCATTGCAGGAACCCGAACCTAAGGGCCTAGAGCGCGATTTCTGAAAGTGTGATTTCTGAAATCGTGCACGGAAGTCCATAACTACTGGTCTAACCTCTCGTATCTCACTTCTTCTTTTCGAGTGGGACACCGAGTCATCTAACGACCCATGAATATTGTGCAATAAAACTGCATGTTCACTGAGCCCTGGGCAAAGCTCATAGGTCAGGTTTCTCCTGAAGGCGGAAGCCATTGCAGGAAACCGAGCCTAACTTGCCGAGTGTAGGCTGAGGGCCTGGAGCGTAGTTTTTGAAGGTGTGAGTTCTGAAATCGTGCACGGAAGTCCGTAACGACTAGTTCTAACCTCTCGTATCACACTCTGTACTACTCTTAATTTGTTGTAATTTATTAGTGTATGTGTGAATGGATTTGTATAGTAGAATGTTTGATACAAGCACAATTAGTAGCAAACATTCGCATGCGGAAATTCAAAAATAGTCCCCGCCTCGCCAAGTGCCGAGTACCGACTTGCCACTCGTCACTCGCCAATGGCGTTGAACTTGGCAAGGACACTTCCTGGTACTCGCAGCCTCTTAAGCCGCGGCCACATGCCACATGTCGTAATTACCTACGATGATGCTTTAAGAATACAACTAGTTTAGGGGCTCAGACCAATTATACCAGAGGGAATCCTGAGAATTAAGCCACGAAAATCGCATAATCAGATTTGGTGCACGTTAGACTGACACTCTAATAATTAACTGTTTATCAAACCGCCGATTTAGTTACTCAACACAGTTTACCGGAGGTTAAGTGCTAGGTTTAATCAAACAAAAATAAAAACGAGTATATGAGATTGCTTGTTCAACCTGTATACAGAATAAAGGATTATGTAGGTTTACGCGACTTACTTGTTATTTAGTTGGTAGAAGGTGTAGCCCTCTACGTTTCGGCTGGTTACGACAGCCTTCTTCTTGGAGGACGATAATCAATCACACACGCGCGACGGCCAGTTGCGATTGTCGACTGGCCGTCGCGCGTGTGTGATTGTCGTCCTCCAAGAAGAAGGCTGTCGTAACCAGCCGAAACGTAGAGGGCTACACCTTCTACCAACTAAATAACAAGTAAGTCGCGTAAACCTACATAATGAGTGATACTTGTTCGTTTAATAATAGAATAAAGGATGTGTATTTCGTTGTGTGTTGTGTTGTGAGCGTGCATAAGCTTATAGTGCATCTAGGGTTGCGACAAGTTTTTGATGGCTACAGTCTGGTTGTTAAACGAATTCTTTCTACACCATTTCCTTGATCGGAGTGGATGCTCTTTGACTTTTTAGTCGACATTTCTGTGGAAAGTTTTCCTTGTTCGTTTTTATACAACTTTTTATCTTAAAGACTAAGTAAGTTTAAGATAAAAGTTGTATAAAATACACTGCGGAAATTGTTTAGCCATTTCTTTCGGTGTAAGAAAAGCCAGTTCCTTTTCCGTGCCTTTTCCTGTGGACTGTGATGATGATGGTGATGTGATGTATATCTTAGCTGATTTTGGCTACAGCGACTGCATCAGGAGCGGGGGGCTCAGCTGGTTTGCTCGTTCGTGGGCCCTCATGTGACTGCAGCGGCCAATCTTGTTTTGCAGTACACGTGAACATACAGGGCATGTCCGGATTCTGGCTACATAGTTTGTCTAAACGCGATGAACTGGAGGCCCGTCCTCCCGCCGCTATTAACTACAATTATTAATGGCAAACTCACGTGCCCACACTGTGCACGGGAGTTTACTGCCAAAATAGGCTACAATAGCCACCTGCGAGCGCATCAGCGCCGACTTGATCAGGAGTAGAAGTGGTCGCCATGGCCGAAACCGGCCGGAAAGATCATCATCATCATCATCATGTGTGTGCTATAGGTGGTCTAGTATTTGAAAGGTTTTGTTTTGTCTGTACGCGTCTTAACAATGAGATTTGACAACGCACGACTAAGCCCGTCTGTCGGTTAGTAAGTATAAAAAAATGCATTACGCAACGCTGTTGCTAGACGGAGGAGTTTTTGCCCGACCACACGAGGCAAAGGAGGTAATGAATTCAGCACGAGGCGGCATTATTGTTGGCCGATCATGCACGAACATCAATCTTAGAACCGCATTTTAATCTGTGGATTAACTAAGCTGAACTGACTAACTGCCTTTGATTTGTAGCGGTAGAATGTGATCTTGATATCCAGACGAGGTCCCTGAATCATTTCTAAGGATTGTTAAAGAATTATTTTTTCATTTTATAGTTTGTAATATTGTTTTTAAATTTGGTAAGAATGTTGTAGTCTTAAATTACTGACAGAACGACCTGATTGTCCATAAGAAACATGGTAGATAAGGTTGTCGGTCCCGGTTGCTGGTTACACAAGTACTAGGCATTGTAGGCAATTTAAAAACTGATATCAGGATTTGAAACGTTTTTCATCGACTCAGTGTCCATACGACTCAAGATACAGAAGACTAAGCGACGATGACAATGTTGTTTTCCATTGAAACATGATCTTGTATGGAGGGCTTATAAAAAATCCTCGCAGATCAGAACTGGTTTCTCGCTTCCTTGTGAGCAACTCTGAGCAAGTGACATTTTAAAGTGTTGTCAAACAAGCCCACACGAGATATTTACAATTTAATTGCATTGTGCGAATATCTATTTCCAGTACAGTCGACATCAGTTCGGATTACCATTCAAGGCTTAAATTATACTGGTTTCGGTACGGTAATTAACAAAAACCGGTCTTTTTCGATTGATCTAGAAATGTAACTCGGCCTGCTGTCGATCGTACTAGACTAGATTGTACTAGAAAAACAACAATTAACATTTTGTTATTCTACAATCATAACATAACATACATAACAAAACAAGTTAATAAATAGTATTGCGAATGCACAACTAGCCATGTAATGCAATTAGGTACTTAAAACTCAATCACTTTGTGAATGCACTGAAAAAGGAACATTTAAAAACATTGCTAATTGTGAAACTATTTTCAGTACAAAATTAATTGCGCACTGTTTACAAAAAGAACTGAGAATCACTTTGGTTTTGTGAATTAATTTTATGATCTAATCAGCGAACCTTATGAATAGAACGTAGAAAAATTATGTTGAATAGTTAATACGTACTATCAGCAGATCAGCACATAGGTATAAGATCAACTAATACCGGTTATTGTTACAAAGTTTCAAGTAAGTATTTTAAATCGTATGATCCCTGAAGTACCACTAGGTAAGGTTGCTTCGATGTATCATTAAGCTATTTGAACATCACCAAACTAAAATTCAATACAGTACCAGGCAATCTCGAACTCGTAACAGGTTAAAAACAGGTGGTACCTGCCGCAACTGCATTCTATGCAACAACATGGTGCATTATCAAATCGGCGCCGTGGTCCGATGCGCACGGGACGTACCAGTACCTGCGCAAGCGCATGGTCCGTGAAATGCGCATTCGCTCGCTCGTGCCTGTGTGGAAATTGTCAGACCAGCTACCAGCTAAAACAGTAGCTTACTAAATTTTCTAAAGATTGAAAACCAAATTTTAAAACACTTCTCGTGTTAGGTATAAAATTTTTGGACAACTTGCAAAATTTTCCACCGCAGGCAGGATTTGAACCTGCGACCTTCGGGATCTGTACTGCCGACGCCACTACCAACTGGGCTACCGCGGTTCTAATCGAGCCTGCGAATTAGGCAAGTATATCTTGTCCACTAACGCGTGGATGGGCTCTATCTACCGGGATAGTTTTTGCATTGCGTGATTAGTTTTCTAAAGGTTAATGATGGCGAAGGGTTATGGTAAGCCGTCGGTCCCGGTTGCTTTCATGATTACCTACTTAGGCCGCGTTCGTTACACAACCACGTGAAATTGTTATTGAAGACGATTTGAGACCTCTTCGGCAGGGACGCTCGTCGTCTTAGGAATGTATCAAACGGCAAAGGACCTCCTATTCATAGAGCTTGTGCACTATCCCATGGTCCCCTGGCCGAGGGCAGCACCGTGAAGTGGGGTGGCCTATGCCATGACGTGGACGGCACGGTCGGCTGCGCGGGCGCGCCGGTGGAAAACGGGCGCGATAACGAAACCAACAAGTTTCTACGGCTAATTATGAGTTGCCAAGGAAATTACTGGCAAATGAGACGTGTTCGAAGTATGGTGAGGGTTCTTATGGAAGAGCATCTATTTATACGAAGTTTCGTCAAAGTAGTAGCCATAACGTCTAATGAAAGTATTTTTTTAGGTTTATTTTACTGTAGTAGTAGTAGCCAACCAAGAATCGCGCCACGAAAGAAAACTCGCTGTAGATGAAAAAGTAGATGAGCCTTGTTTGGATGACAACACTATAACGACAACACTGCATCTGAGGCTTAGTCTGAGGTCTTATAATCTACTTTATGACACCCGCGATTACCTAGGTTGTGCTATGGTTCTACTAATTCCGGAAAATATCCTTCAAAAGACGCACGTGACCAGTAGCAAAACAACTTTCGTTTATAATTATGAAATATAGGCACAGCCGAGTTTACTGAGGGCTATATCTACTAATTAAAAATAATTATTGTGTGACGCAAATTGATAAGCCGTCCGAAACTAGTACACAGTCGGGTCAAATGTTATCCAAGCTGAACCGGGTACCGATAACGTTTCCTAGTGCTATAAGGTCCGTTTCCACTTACATATCTTGTGAAAATATATAAAAATATGTTCTAGATAAGTATTTTAGGACTGACTGCCAAAACAGAATCTTAAATTAGGCGCTAATATGTACCATAAAATGTGATTTGACGTTTTAAGAATAAACAATTTTAACATTTAACAATTTTTTATCAATTTTAACAATTTTAAGAAAAAAAAAATTTTGTTTATTTAAGTTACCGTTTAAGCAAACGACAAATAAAGAAAAATATAAAACTACAAAATCCCTATTAATGAGTTTTATAGTTTCATCCGACTCTACTTCTGAATGTTGCCTATTCAATCAAGCACATCCTATTACGGATACTCCAGATGGGCTACGAATGCAAATCTGCGAGGCATTGGTCTCATGAGTGTCTTGCGACAACTCTTGTGAGTTTCGTCCTCTACAATAGGCCACTTGTACCCATTACAGTGTAATCCAAAAAATGCATAAATGCTAAGTGAGTAAGTGACATCATATTACGTTGTCAGTTGTTGCGCTAACCAGTGGATGCGGGCCTTTACCACGCAGTTTGTTCAACTTGTATCTCGTTTCGTCACAGTGCTTTATTTACAATTTCTTGGTGACGGCTAAATATAGCTATATAGCCGAGCACAGCTCCATCCGCTGTTTAGTAGTTCTGTGAATTGCTGAGACGGGAGTGCTGTCCACATGCTTTCATAAATTCACACGGTTATGGCCGACCGAGTTATACCCATAGCTACAACAGAGGTGTAGGTTGTCTAAATAAGTACAAGTAAATTTCGGTTTCGTGATATAATGACACGCCAAAAATAGGTATCGCCATTACGCGAATAACATGTTATTTAAACCACTACGAAAATACAAACGTAGTAGCAAGAACTGCACTTTAAAATACCAAATATAAACGTAGTAGCAAGATATAATAAGAGACAATTTTCCTGTTTACCTTTAACTTGATCTTAGTTCTTATCTAGAAAAGAACATTACATGAACCAAGTAATTACCAACACAGATTTGTAATTTGTAACATTATTTACCCATTTTCCAGTCTGAAGTAATTACCTCAATAGATCGTAATAGATGGTAATAGCTGGCGACGTAACAGATAGGGAAGTGCAAATGCAATAAATATCAGTTGTTACAACAATGTTGGCATTTACTTTGACTTTCGGTATCGGTTCTCAATCTTAGGACTGAAAATCAATAAGTGGGTCGCCTCGTCTCGTTCCTTTTCGTCCTGGGAATATGTACACTTAGTCAATAATAGTTTTGTTTACAATACACACCTAATCGCAAACTAGACTGATGGATGATCAATTTGGATTGTGACTACAAGGCTGAGTTTTATTGTATTTATTTTTACCCGACTGCCCCAGGAGGGTTATTGCTTTTGTGACCAGGCATTTTAAAAGCTTGCAGTAAAGATAAAAACCGGCCAAGAGCGTGTCAGACACGCCCACAAATAGGGTTTCGTAGTCAACGTTTAAATATCAGGTTTTTCAGCATTACAAACTTAATTTTGTTGCTGGTTTGTTAGCAGCAGTATGATGACCAACCGCAAATAGAAAAACTCAATTATTCCTGAAACCTTTAAGGGTACGATATCCGTTATAGTTTTCATTGTAACTTCAGATTGTAAGCTATATTCCATATTTATTTCAAATTTTTTGCGTTTATACTTTAGAAGTTACAGCTGGAACAAATTATGGGTCAAAAACGCCCTTTTAAAAGCAAATATTTCGTGACAGAAACATTTTAGAGAATTTGTTTCAAAGAAACCTCACCTTAATTTTGAAAGACCTATTCAACGATACCCTACTCAATATTACAGAAGAAAAAATTTTTGCCCCCTTTCACTTCTATGAGGGGTCCAAAAACATTTTAAATATTTTTTTCTTAACATTTCTATATTTGGGTCAACACGATCTATCTTCTCACCAAATTTCATGTCGATAGCTCTAAAACTGACGAAGATATGAGGGCGCGGCATACAGACAGACAGACAGACAGACAGACAGACAGACAGACAGACAGACAGACAGACAGACATGACGAAACTATAAGGGTTTCTAGTAGACTACGAAACCCTAAAAATTGAGGAACTGAGATAAAATAGAAGCGCGTATTTTGTGCCACTGCAGTTTTCAGAATCGTGTACCTAAACATATTTCACTTCTAATTTCTACACGACAAATTATTTCTTGAAATTACTACCTTCATGCAATAAATTCTGCAGCTTTAAGGGGTTGCATCGTAGTTGGCACATCTCGTCATTCATAATACAAAATCTGTAGCTAAAGTTTGACAAGCACCGTTGGAATATGTGTCTAGAGGCCGCAATGCACTCGCTGACCCGCTTGCTGCGCGCGCGCAACGAAAGTGAAACTAGTCGCCTAGTTTGGCGCCGTAAGATCTGTTCGTTATTTTTGTTTACAAACTGCCACTGGAACACGCATAATGTTGTAATATAATGTAACAAGATATGTTGGTTAACTACTTACCTAGTATGTTTATTTAGTTTACCTGGTTTTAGTTTTGTAAATATTGTAATTGGTACATTGGGAGATTGTAATTGGTACATTTTTCACTTCAACTAAGCCGATTTCAAGGCGAGGAGGTCTTCATTCGAAAATGTCAGTGACACCTTTTCGTAATAGTTAAAATAATTTTAATTCATCAAACTTGAATTAAACTGAGACCCTGATTAGTTTTATATTACTTATATGCGCGTACATCCTTTTTCCTAACTCTACCTAATCCGAAAATACACTGCTGAACTATTTTGTGTCTGAACTACATCTTCTTCGAATAGGATAAAGAGTCGTCCAACAACCAGGTGAACCCTGGTGTCAAGAGTTTTTAATCGCCTACTACAAGTAGCAGGCCTCTGACATGGATGTGTAACGACGACCGTCTAATCTAATCATAGACAGCAACCGGGACCCGTGACTTGACGTACCCACCAAAGCACTGAACCATCTCTGAACTACTAAAATCAAGTTTCTTTGAAATTGGCGTAGGCTCCATTCCTTTTGTATTTCAAAAAGACTACACAAGCATTGCATTGAATTGCTGTACGGCTACTGTACAGCCAGTTTCTGCAATAGTTATATTACGCAGTTGATCTTTAACGCGTTGCTATTGCGTTCACTCACAGCCTTGACGAAACCATAGTAAATTAGGTAATTCGATTTAAATTAGTAGGCAATAATTTTTACTACTTATAGGTATAAAACTAGTATACCTGCTGATTTACTGTTTGAATATAAATGCGTTATAATCGCTAATTTGGTCGTATACTTCCGAGAACTAATGGTAGGCTTAAAAACCAAGCGACAGCGACAACGACGCGCGTCGTTGTCGCTGTCAAATGACTGGTTTGTATGGGGAACCAGAAAGACCGAGCGTCGGCGTCGTTGCGGCGCGCCACGACGCCGTCACGTTGACAGCACGCTTAGAAGCTTAGAGTTTGTATGGGATGCGGTCGGGTTTTTCTACAAGACCGCAGCGTCGCTGTCGCGACGCTTGGAAAATAAGGGTACCATTACTATTCTACTTCCTATTCCTATTGATTTTATCGGCTAAATACACGACTCGGTTTAGTAGACGATGTTTTTTTTATAATCTAGGTACATACCTACATTGCATCTCTCTTTTCGTTGACACAGAGTTGTCCAACGATCTGATGAACCCATCAGAGTTTTACATAGCACAAAATCACCACTAAATCTTTCTGGAAATGGTATTCAAAATTGAGCGTAACATTACCCTACAATAAAAATAGAAGTTGTCGTCTTATTAGAGGTGTCACTTTAGATTTAGTATTCGCCGAAAGCAACACGTTAGTAATTCGATCAAAGCGCGCTCGTACCGCACGCATGCCTTCTCTCGCGCACCGTGTGATTAACATATTGTTTTCCTCTAACATCAGAAATAAGCTTGCCGTGTGATGCCGGCTTAGAATAGCATCAACCCGATCCTACCGGTAGATGTCGTAAAACCGACTA